AAAAAAAAAAAAAAAAAAAGCAAGGCTAGCAATAATCTAAGTGTATCCCAAACGTCAAAAAGGTCAGAATACAGCCGCTATTTTTGCGCCAAACCCGTATCCCACAGAAAATCCACCCGATATATACCTCCCAGCCAAACACCGCCCGGGGTCGCAAAAAAGACAAGGGATATATGTAATGCCACAACGAGCCCGAATCTACCGCAGCATGTCGTTGTCCGGGTAGGCCTTGAGCACGTTCAAAATGGGCCGGAAAAGTCGCTTGTCCTGCCACTCAGGCGCCTCGTTGGCGAAATTGTTGGCCCACAGCCTGACCTCATCCATGCTCAACCACTGGAAGCCGCCGCACTTCTCAGGCTCCATGTTCTGCGGTGCACTCATCAGCGTCTACATCCTTGCAGAGGAGAGCAACAGGACCGTTGCGGGTGTGTGTCTACATACCACAGGCTGGGCGTCCGGGTCCACGAGCTCGCACGCTACGTACAGACTGACGTAGTGCTTGCGCGCATTCGGCATCATGTCGCTCGTCGCGCCGACGAAGCGGTGGTTCTTGGTGCGCAGGCCCGTTTCCTCCATGACCTCGCGCTCGGCGCACTCGGTGAAGGTCTCGCCGATCTCGAGGTGCCCGCCGGCGGGAGCCCACTTGCCTGGGGAGCGGAGGAGCGTCAGTCTCAATGATGACGATGGTGATTTTTGCAGAAGAAAGAAAGGCTGGTTGCTCACCGTTGCCGAGAATGCCTTTTCGCTGCGCAAACAGAATCTTGCCCTCTCTATTGTAGACCAGAGCGGCGACGCCGGGGATGGGGTGGAATTGACTTTGGGCCATTGCGATTGGGTTGGGTGGTGGTGATATGGTGATTGGAAGGTGTTGGAGAACAAGAAGGTCTTGCGGGTTGAGTAGTAATGTTGCTTTTGGATGCTTGCTAGTGAAGTGTTTGTCTGTTGTAGAGCCCCAAGAACCAGCAGACGCAGCGTCTTATATAGCCAGACAATAGGTAGGGACCCGGACAGGCCCCAGGGCACCTAGGACGGCGAATGTCTCGAAGTTGCCCATTGCGTAGGGGCAGGTACCTAGCAAGCCTGGGGCCGAATTTTTCTCAAGCCGCTGACGGCTAAGAAAAGCGGTGGTGGCCTGCCCTGAGGCTTCCGTGGGGGTCAAAGCCAAAGCCAAAGTCGGGGCTCTCCACGCCCCCCTGCTCCGCATCCAACACCCCCCTGCGCAAAGGATTCGGCCCCTCGGGCTCAGCCACGCGACGGGCGCGATTCAGCCCTATGTTCCTGTCCGCCTTCCCTCCCTCCAGGCAGCAGATGGAACGCGCGCGCCGCCGCTGCTCCTCCTCCTTCCTCCTCCTCGCCCCCGCCGCCAACCTTGTTCCACACAAGGTGTGGCGCCGCTCCTTTCGGGGTCCTGCGTACCGCGCCCGGGGGAAGGTTTTCGCCTGCTGCAGAGGCCGTCTACCAGGTCGACCGTCGTCGACGCCGCGTGCTTGCTTGCTTGCTTGCTTGCTAGCGAGTACGAGGCTCGCGATCTCCGATCCTTCCATGCATCTGCATCCCACCCTTGTCTGACTCAGCCGCCTCGTTCCTGAAAATCACACCCTCACCGACCGCTGTCGCGCCCACAGCCACGGGTCTTGCGCTAGCTCGAGCATCTGTCGCTGCTTCGTTCCAGGGCTGCGGGTTCGTTCGTTTGGCGTGGGAGCCGCGTGCGGCGTAGGGCTCCGCGACCCAATCGCCTGCTCGTCGCCAATTATACCTAGATCTGTATGTAGTGGACGACTTGCTTCGGCGTTTCGGCGCGCGCTCGCTGTGCTGCTGCGTGGAAGGAAACAAGCTGCTTCGTCACCGCCTACCCACCCGCTCGCGCTTACCTACTCACACCGACGGGATTACGAATGATGACAGGGGCGTCGTCTGCCCGTTTTCGCTGCTTTTGTATGTACGTAGACGTCCCCTCTCGGTGGTGCTTAGGAATTCTTCCGCGGCCGTTTCTTCACGCCCTGACATGCGCGACAGGTATGTAGGGCAAGCTGCAGGGCCCGTCACACCGAACGGTGCGCATCGGCGACAAGCCGCGGGCGGCTCTGTGGCTGCTGTGATGAGGTCAGCGCAGATGTGGGGCTTAGGCAGGTTGCTTTTGCCTGTTTGCTGCCTATCTGCGTTCGCGGGGGGCTTAGCGAGCTGCTGTGCAGGTGAATATTACCTATTTCTGCGTCTGCACACCTGCGGCCGGCCTCTGCATCATGCTTCAGGCGTGCAGTCAGGCACGAGAATGAGTGCGGCTTATGCGTCTTGGCGATGGACTGGAGATGGTGCTTGCGGGGCTGGCTGGCTTCCGCGGAGCTCGCCCAGACGCACGTCTGGAGCCTCTACCTCGCCGAGACTGTTGGGCCATGTCGTTCGCCCATCTAAGTCGATTTGCTTTTGTTTCGAATGCCTTTTCGCCTTGCCGGTTCAAGTGGCACTCACTTACGCGGCCCTGACCTACAGCACCTAGTCTCATCCAGCAGGATTCGACCTCCTTGCCACCGACCGCATCAAAGCCTTGTCCAGGCCAATGCATCATTGGTCGTCGCCCTTGTCGCTCCTCAACAGTATACCACATTCGCTACATCGTACGACATACCGCATTTGCAGCCCATCCGTCACCCGACAGTGTTCCTTCGATCATCATCCCCATGACCAGACGTTCCGGCTCTGTTGGGTTTCGCGATCGTGGCAAATTACCAACAGTGCGGGGACGACGATCCTGTGTGCCTAGATGGAGTCCATTGCAGCTATCTTGCGAGCCGGCGCATTGCGGTTAGGCTGGGTTGAAGGGTGGGGTGGGGTGCAATGGCTGGTAGAGTGCCATGCCGCGTCTTGGCTTCGAGAAGTCCAATTGGACCCGCCCTCGGCTGCAAGCGCATTGAAAGCGAGGCTTATGCGGGACGACCAGTGGTTGGGTGAATTCGGCAACGGAGGCAAGGATGCGCGTGGGATGGACGGACAGTAACGTGCAGCCGATGACACGGTCGAAGCGGCAAGGGCGTCGTGGATGCAGCCAACGGGTGGCCTGGCCGCAGATGAATGGTGCCAGAGGAATCGTGCGTGCTGTTGGAGGCGTTGTTGCAAGCCGCAAGCGGCGCCTGGCGCCGGGTACACGGCCCCGCGGCCCGCGTTTTGGTGGGTGGGTGGGCACATAGGTAGTGGGTAGGTACACGTGGGTGCCTATATTTATCGACGGACGAAACATGGCCCGAGGGTGCGTCTCCACGACCTCCAGTGCCTCCACGATGGATCTTCTTCACCACTCTTTCAGTTTGGCAAGCTTCGAGGGATCATACACTACCCTTCAGAGGTCGGATCAGTTATCAATAACACATGAGCGGCAGACCCCGCTAGCAATTCTTTGAGTGGTTCTGAGTTTTTGTTCATTGCAATACATTGTACAGTCGCTACCAATTCATACTCCTACATCAAATTTCAGTCTTTGTCATCATTTGCTAAGAAAGAACTGACTTCGCATGGGCAATCGAGCCTACTCAGCAGTGCCATCGTCATTGCCTTGGTCCGTGGCTTCGTCCTGGCCTTCATCCTTGGCTTCCTCCTTGCTCTCGTCCTTGACTTCGTCCTTGCTCTTGCCGTTATCCGGAAGCTTCAAGCCATACTCCTTCTCTAAGGTGTCAGTCACCAGTCCTCCAAGCGCCCCGCTAATAACAGCATCAACCATCTTCGCCGCCCTCTCAAACACATCGTTCTTGTGGACGTTTGTCTCATAGTTCTTTTTCGAGCGGCACTTCCTGTCACTATAGCCGGCGTCGAAGATCCAGCCAACGATGCACTGGTTCTCAGGATCCACGCCTGGATAGTATGCATCCTGGCCAAAAAGGTCCAGTAGCTCCTGGTTGACTTCGGCCTTCACGCGGCGCAGAACCATCCAGCACAAGCGTGTCATCGTCAGATGGTCGAATGTCAGCGCAAGCTGCTCGGTTTGCAGAGCTCTGCACAAGCCGAAAAGAAGGAGGGGCGTGGTCGGCAGCTGCACCTCCGTGTTTTGGGGCTTACTCGACGTATCGTGTCTGGCTCCATGGCCAAGGCAGTCGGCTTCCTGGCAATGTCGGTAGTTCCACCCGCTCTCGGCCATGAACTTCAACACGTCCGCATACGAGAAGGTTTTGCATCTATTGCTGCAGTATCTTTTCTTGAACTGATGAGATACTGGCGCCCGATCTTTGAGGCTTTTCTTGCCACGACCAGAACTGCGATGGCAGTCGTCGGGGTCTTGGTCTTGGGCATACTGGCGTTTGTTTTTCGCATAGAAAGTCGCGGAGTAACCCAGGTGTAATCTAAAGCGGCGAAGGTATTGTTCGAAATTCTTCGGGACGTCACCACTCAAGACCGACTTCTGGGTGTGGATGCGGTAGATGGTCTCCATGTCCGTCCAGCGGCTGCTTAGGAGATTCTCTTGTTGCACAGCATTGTACAAGTGGGTAGCTTCCATGATGATAGATGACTGATTTGCGTACGGCTCGAGTTAATTTGCCCCCCGATATCTGCTATTTTGCCCCCCCCC